CCAGGATGAGAACCATCGTTTTGTGGTTCTCCAAATGAAAAACCACAGTTAGCAATCAAAGTGTCCGCTCTTTGATGGCGAAGCTGGAGTAGAGAACATGGCTAACATCTAAGGTCAAGATGGATTTGTTTGGTCTTTTCTTTTCAGACACCTCCACCCCTGTGTGGTCTTACCAAGCCTTCTATAGCCACTCTGTTGAGAAGTAGCTCACCTCTGATGACCACCGGAGGTCACCTCTGATGACCATCTCCCATAGGTTCCTTTGCTCTTCTTTGTAGCCCCCTCCTCACCCTAAAGTTATATATTTACTTTCTCCCCCGTCAAAATGTAAGGCACAGGGGAGCAGGTAAGTTGCCTTATATTCAGTACCATAAGGCCAGAGCACAGATCAATGTCTGGCACCTAATTTGTGGTCCATGAATAATTATTGGCTAAATGAGCCAATCATTTAGAGGCCCTTGCCACAATAAGGTAAAGAGTCAGGATATTAAAGATCACAAATACAGCTACAAATAAATTGTTGAGAGTTTTAAATGAGGAAGCGTGGCTTCAAGTATGACAATTCCACTTAATGGTTTTATAATTAATTATTCCATAAATGAGATTGAAGTTTTTGCCTTCATTTGAGTAATTTGTTTTACTAGAGCCTATTTTTCACGTCCACCAAACAATGGCTTTGGATGAGAGGAAGCTTTGAGCTGTCAGGGAAGGAGAGAAAGCCCCGATGATGCATGAAGTGAGAAGACAATAGGAAAATACCAACATTTCTTGTATAAACCATCACTAAAAATGCATCAGTAAGGAAAAGGCAGTTAGGTGGCGCTTCCCTGGAAGGCAAAAAAGGGCAAGAACACTTATTTTGTAGCTGCTGAACTAACCACTGAAGTTTGGACTTGAGAGCAAATAATAATTTATCCACTAAGAGCTTAACCTTTCATTCTGTACTTTCCAAACTTTTCTTGTTTCGTACTCATCTTTTTAGTCCCCTAAATGTAACCAACTGCAACTATTTTTAAGCCCCCTTACTACAGTCAGTCTTTTGAATTAAAAGAATTGCCTTTAATAGGAAATCTGCCCTTCATCATAAAGATGGAACACAAAATCCTCCTCTTAGCTATGAGGCCCCAAAAATGAATGGGCTAAAACGCTCTAAGCTTAGCAAATAGCAAAGATACACATTCGACCAAATGTGTTTTAGTCTTGAAAATTATGGACATGTGTCCCGGCAAGGTGAACAGTGCAGCCTCTTCAGGCTGTGAGCTGAACACCACTGAAATTTTGTGTAACAGGAATGACCAACCTGGCCCTGGGCAGATGCTAGAATTCACTGGTATCATCCACTAAATGGCTGTGATAATTTCTCTTTCCCGAAGTGTTGTTATCAAATTCATTGTTGTTGGCTGATTAGAGTGCCCTCAAGTGTTTCTTAATTATGACGCCTGTTTAGGTCTTTCAAAGAACCTAACGTTTCTCACTTTGAAACAAGGGATGATACAGTGATTAAGCATACTAGGTTTGTTTTGTTTTTGTTCTTTCTCCATACCTGCTTCCCGAGATAGACGAGATAGAAGAGAGAGACGCAAAGTCCCGAAGAGTCCAGGGAAGCCCTAGGACTGGATTTGGCGCCTTTATGTGCCGAGACTTGGAGAAGAGTTGACCCACCCAGCGTCACACATTGTGTCCCTGACAGATCCTTGCCGATCTCTGTCCATTGTTCTTCCCATCCTCCATTTATATTATAGTAAGACCCTATCTTACCCTCGTGGATTTTAACATCGCTCAATACCTGGAGTCAGGATTTTTGGCCTAGTTTTATAATGATAATAAGATGAGTGCAGGTGATAGGGAACACAGAGAAAAGACAGAGGTGTCATTGCCTTAAATTCTGTCTGATAACAGGACATTTTAGGAATATGTGCAGTCCAACCGACGTGCTAAGTTTCTCTTGGGTACAAAATATCCTAATAGGTGATATGGGAGACACAGAGATGAATATGATCTGGCCCTGCCCTCCAGGAAAGCTTGCCTCCTAATGATTTTCTTCCTGGAATCTATCCAGACCTTTCTGGAAGTGCTAGAGATTCAAGAAAATCCTGCTCCCGCGACTTTTGGATACCCAACAAAATTACGATGTATGGTTTGGCCAGTAGCATTTTTTGTAGTTCTTTAGCATTCATTCTCCCAGAGACATTTTTTTTTTAACTCAAAAATACATTTCATTTATCCCATGATTAGGTCTGTATGGCTTTATATTTTCTAAGTACATTAACATCACTAAGTGAGGTTAAAAGTAGGATTCCAGCTTTAGAGAGGAGGGAATAGAACTTGTCTCAAATAGCTGATGATTTTTCCAAAACTGAAACGAAACTTCCTCTTTTCTCTCCACTAAAGTAAAAGGCGGTTTGACTAATAAGTTCAACTATATCCTGTCTTCTGTAAAGCATGGATTTATAGACTAATTCATTGTAGAACTGTACAATTATTAGAGATGATCTAGACAGCTAAATCAGTAGCCACTTAAATACACATCTTCTTCCTTGTCATTTAATAATAGGACTCTCACATTCCTTCCTAATAACTTACTCGAATTTAGGTAAATGAAAGTAGGGCTGATATAATCTATTTGCAAGCCCTCTGACCTGTCCAGTCCAGAGGAGTATAAAGCCAAGAAGTCAATTTTAAAACCTTTTAATAGCCATGTTATTGACTACTGAGATATTTGAACTGTGGGGTTGTAAGCGAAACTAATGATACAAATATAATTATTGATATAATGAAAGCACTTGTCAATGGATTGTATAGGGTTTTTTTTTTTTTCAATTACATTAACTATATTACCAAATAATTAGAACAGAGTTTTGAGGCAAGCTTTCCAGGAATGATGCCCAGATGTGAGCAAGCTAATTTTTATCATTAGATTAGAGATAACGTTTTAATGCAGCTAGAGCAAAAAATAAAAAAATGTACTTCAATAGAACCTTCAAGAAGCCAGTGTTATTTACCTTTCTTCATTGTACCCACAAATTATTTGAAAAGATAGACTACGAATTCTTTGTCATCCATAATATATTACAGCTTTCTGGAAGGTCTGTGTGAGAAATGCTTTCTAAAGCTTTCTGGGATAAAGTGGCAATCATGGCATCCTTACCGCAAAGAACATCTGTTTACCAGCTCTGCTTTCTTTGACTGGTTGTAGGAGTGCTTTAGGGAATGATTTCTTTTTTGTGTCTTGACAGGCTTCTGTGCTCGAGGCCAGACTGCAAAGATAACAGTAGCATGTGCTGGTGTGTGTGTATGTGTGTTTGCATGTGCGTAGAGCATGCGGAAATCAAAAGCATGGACGCATAAGAATATGTTCTGTTTTAGCAAATAATTGGAAAGTCCTTGGGACTTTTACATAATGTGTACATACCGTCCATTTGTAAAAAAAAAAAAATGAGAATAATAATAATAATTTTGCTCTGTCTCCCTTGTAATTAAGTTCTCAATTTGTAGACATGTGTTACGTTTTTGACTAAAATAATGCATTCAGAGTGGCACCTTGGAATAATGACCACCGTATTCAAACAATTCTATTTGTGTCTTATTTGTAGAATATTGTGAAAAGAAGAAGTATCTTAGGCTTTTTTGCCTGAAATAAAACTGTCAAGTTCTTTAAGGGAGGGAAAAATTGAATTTGGGAAACATTCTTCCTAATTTTTTCCCTGATACCATTTTTTATTTAAAAAATAAAGATGAGGGGCACCTGGGTGGCTCAGTTGGTTAAGTGTCTGACTTCAGTTCAGGTCATGATCTTGGGTTCATGGATTCAAGCCCCATGTTGGGCTGTGTGCTGACGGCTCAGAGACTGGAGCCTGCTTTGGATTCTGTGTCTCCCTCTCTCTGCCCCTCCCCTGCTTCTGCTCTCTCTCTCTCTCTCTCTCTCTCTCTCTCTCTCTCCCAAAAACAAATACTAAAAAAAAAATTTTAAAGGCATCCTTCTCTCTCTGCCTCTCACCCGCTCACGCTTTGTCTGTGTCTCTCAAAAATAAATAAACGTTAAAAAAATTTAAAAAATTTTTAAATAGGGGCGCCTGGGTGGTGCAGTCGGTTAAGCGTCCGACTTCAGCCAGGTCACGATCTCGCGGTCTGTGAGTTCGAGCCCCGCGTCGGGCTCTGGGCTGATGGCTCAGAGCCTGGAGCCTGTTTCCGATTCTGTGTCTCCCTCTCTCTCTGCCCCTCCCCCGTTCATGCTCTGTCTCTCTCTGTCCCAAAAATAAATAAACGTTGAAAAAAATTTTTTTTTTAAAATAAAAATAAAAATAAAAATTTTTAAATAAAAATGAAAGCGTTTCCCTTCCTATTTTGACTTTTTTCTCAGCCTTTGAATATTCAATATTACCAAGCATGTAATGAGCAAACCAAATTATAGATAATTTCCTTTACCTCTTAAATTAAAAGTGATTTTCCATATTTAAATGCAAATATTAATTATTGGTTATGTTCATATTTTAAGTTTCTTGGATTTTCTCCCTTATTTTAAATTCCAAGGGACTGTGTCTGTCTTTCAAAATACTTTACCAGTTGAGATACAATTGAAAAAAAATTTTTTTAATTAAAAAAATTATTTTAGCGTTTATTTATTTTTGAGAGAGATCGAGCACAAGCATGGGAAGGGCAGAGAGAGAGGGAGACACAGAATCCAAAGCAGGCTCCAGGATCCGAGCTGTCAGCACAGAGCCTGATGTGGGGCTCGAACTCACGAGCAGTGAGATCATGACCTGAACCTAAGCTGGACGCTCAACTGACTGAGACACCCAGGCGCCCTACATTTGAAAAATTTTTAATTTCCATGTATTTTATATGTTGCTTAAAGAAATGTGAAACATGGAAACTACTATTTAAAAAAGTTTATTTCTTCATATTAAGGTATCTTTGTTCATTAAAGGAAAAAAAGATATGTAAACCTGGCTTTCATTTTCTGGGACATTGTAGTCTAGGGAATTATGGTTGTTCATTACCTTGATGTTCTTGAATAAGTGGTATGGTAAGCCTTCAACATCTGAGTCCTCCAGTTCAGTTACAGGGTGAGCTGTCCTAAGAGGAAAATGTTCACCGAAGAAACAACTAGTTAAAAAAGTAATGTTCTAAAACCACATCAAGTTAATGTCTCTTTTAATCAGTTTTGGAGTGATTGTAAGACACAACAATTTAATGAAAAAACTACGAAGCTAAAATAGTGCACATACAACAAAGTATGTTGATGGCAAATATTATTTATTTGTTTATTGGTAAAGGTTTTATTTATTTTTTTAAGTAATTACAGCCGATGTGGGGTTCGAACTCACAATTCCACGATCAAGAGTTGCATGCTGTACTGACGGAGCCAGCTGGATGCCCCTGCCAGTATTCTTTAGTTCAAAGAAATTAATGTTGAAAAATGGCACGAGTCACATGTAAATACACTGATAAATGAGGACCCATCAGAGTTATACCAATGAACAGTTTAAAATGAGAGAACAAAAATGGATGAGGACATAAGTTAGTTGTTTCATATGAGAATTATTTGGGAATCAAGGAGTAAAAGAAACTCTTGTAGGGGGTGCGGGGTGCGCCTGGATGGCTCAGTCACTTGAGCATCCAACTCTTGATTTTGGCTCAGGTCATGATCCCAGCATCATGGAATCCAACCCCACATTGGGGACTGTGCCATGCGAGGAGTATGCTTGAGATTCTCTCTCCCTGTCTCTCTCTCTCTCTCTCTCTCTCTCTCTCTCTCTCTCTGTCTCTCTCTCTCTCTCTCCCCTCTGTCTCTCCCCTCCCTCCCTCTAACCCCCTCCCCCACGCACACAGGCTCTCTAAAATAATTTTTTTAATACAATAAAGACATTCTTGGGAAAATTAATAACATTTTTGAGAATTCTTTGCAATTGTAGCCAGTTCTAATTCAGGCAGAACTGTTGTCTAATTTTGTCAGAAAAGAAAAATTTTGTCCTGAAAAATCAACCCTTGTTTCGATCTTTGCTCCAGTTCAAAGCCACAATAATAGCTTAAACTTCTGGTACAATTTTTAATGAATTTATTTACAATAAACCAATATGATATTTTTCACTATTTTCCTGAAAAAGCGGATTGGCCTTCTCCTGTTGCCAATTTTCCTCTCATAATGAAAACCTCCTCTATAAAGCCACCACTCTAAATTCTCTTTCACCTGTAATTATGAATAGAATGTGCCTCAGTTGACCCCTGCATTTAAAACCCTAAGTATTTATTTGTCTCTTAGAATGTTAATTTAGCACAGTGAGTCTCAACTCTGGTCACTTTAAAAATACTTGGGGGGCGCCTGGGTGGCTCAGTCGGTTAAGCGGCCGACTTCGGCCCAGGTCATGATCTCGTGGTCCGTGAGTTCGAGCCCCGCGTCGGGCTCTGTGCTGACAGCTCAGAGCCTGGAGCCTGTTTAAGATTCTGTGTCTCCCTCTCTCTGACTCTCCCCCATTCATGCTTTGTCTCTCTCTGTCTCAAAAATAAATAAACGTTAAAAAAAAAATTAAAAAAAAAAATACTTGGGATGTCTTTTAAAATACTGATGCCCTAGCTGCTCTCTTAAATGAGAACCTCTGAGGGGGTGAAGCTTGAGGTGAACTCTTTAAAGCTTCCCGTGAGATTCTAGTGAGTACCACTGATGGTACACCACAAAGGTATGAAAACTTCCAACAGTTAGCTTTACAACCAGAGAAAAGATAGGATATGATTTTTTTCCCCTTCATACCTTTTTTAATACATCAAAAGCTTCTAAGGTTTTCCCTTCTGTTCTAAGTCAAATTTGAAAAAGCTATGATAGCATATTAGGTCTCTATTTTTTTTTTAATTTTTGTAATGTTTCTTTATTTTTGAGAGAGAGACAGACAGACAGAGCATAAGCAGGGGAGGGGCAGAGAGAGAGGGAGACATACAACCCGAAGCAGACTCCAGGCTCTGAGCCATCAGCACAGAGCCTGATGCGGGGTTCAAACCCACAAACCACGAGATCATGACCTGAGTTGAAGTCGGACGCCCAAACAACTGAGCCACCCAGGAGCCCCGCGTATTAGGTCTTTATTGACAAGAGAGAGAGCAACATAACTCATTTCTGTATTTTGAGTGTCTATTTTATTTTTGAGAAAGAGAGCGAGAGAGAGAGAGAGAGAGAGAGAGAGAGAGAACGAGTAGAGGAGGGGCAGAGAGAGGGGGACAGAAGATCCAAAACAGGCTCTGTGCTGACAGCAGAGAGCCCAATGCAGGACTCGAACCCATGACCATGAGATGATGACCTGAGTTGAGGTCGGATGCCTAACCAACTGAGCCACTCAGGTGCTCCCCATTTCTCTATTTTGAAAGGTACTTCTTTAGTTTGTCTTCTCTCCTGCATTTGCTGTCTTTAGAGAAAGCATCCCAGTACTACTTGTTTTTGTGAGATTGAGGACCCTGCAGGCAGGACCTCTGCAGACTCCTCACACCTCAACCTTTCCCATTTCCTCTGCTGTGCCATCCCATCATGCAGCCTACTCAAGCCACCCAAGTGTACCCTCTCTTTCCTAAACTTGTGGTGCTTCATCCAGCCATAAGGCTTTTGATGGAACTCTTCCTTAGGCATGGCTGTCTTGCTCATCTGCCTATCACAGCCCTCCTGGCCAGCCTCTAGAACACCTCCCAACTTCCACAGCCTTTTGCACTGCTATCAGCTGAATGTTCTTTATTAGAAAGAGCAACTTTAGAAAGGCATCATTATTCCCTCCAAGCGAATTACACTTCGCTGATACTAGAGAGACAGTAGTTCTTAAATAGGAGATGACAGAGAAGGACAAAATGGTGGGGAGAATCTCAAAGTTGCATTCAACTAGAGTGGAAGTTTACTCTGTGTCAAGATGTATTTTCTTGGTCACGTTGTATTTTTGCATTTAGAGCAAGTTAACCATGGAAGTGTCTGAAGTTAGGGGTCTGTCCTAACTGAAAGACTTGTAAATATGTAAATACGTTTGCATTTAATATGTTTTAGAGGAAGGAGATAGCAGAGGTAATTGTGTAAGTTCCCTTCAAAAACAGAAGATAGTTTCTTTCTTAATTCAGTTTCAGCTAATGGATTTTTCAAAAACTGGGATGATAGAATTTTTTAGTATTCTTATTTTATTTTGGTGCACAGTGAGTGGCTCTGATAGTTTAGATTCGTGTGCATTCCTTTAGTGCCCAAAGAATAATGCTTTCGAAAGGGTTTATAAGGATTAGAGTTGAGCTTGAATCATTGTTGATTACTAGGAAAGTCTTATAAATCATCTTTGCGTTTTAGCTCAGACTCTGACTCACAGCTCATCAGTGACCGATCTTAATTATGTGGGTTTTGGGCAACAACCATATCATTTTAGGTTTTTTTTGAGTTATGGGTGCCCCCAAAGCATAGAGGTCGCATAATATGTATGACGGGGCTAGGAGACAGGTCTCAAATCACTCTGTGATAAAAAGGTGGACCCCAGAGGGGAAGGTGGAATGAAGAGAAGGCACAAGATGAGATCTCCCACAGTGAAGTTGGGAGAATAGATTGGGGCGGCACCAAAGGATTTCTTGATGCTTAACAGAAGCCAGAACACCAAAGATCATGGAATAGCTAAGACATTCAGTATTTATTCTTGCTTACAGTGTTGAGTGCTGTTTACTTTCTTTAATCCTAAAAAGCCTTGTTAGACACATTAACTGTGGGTCTAGCGCATCAGTTACGGTAACCTAGATTTTATTTTACTCCATGTGTGCTACAGCTCCAACGTTTTTCTGCTGATTCAGCCCATGTACTTTTGTGTCTTCTTGATGTAAAGTGTCCCCCCTTGTCATGTTTGGTTACCCTGTCTAAATTCAGTTTGGCTGATCTCTTCCGTGCTCATTTTATATCTTCTTTTCCCCCACTAATAGATGTGCTTTTTGATTCCAGAGGTTAATGAAGAATGTGAACTAATTAAAGACATATTATTTCTTCTGTAGTGGTTTTGCACTTAGCGTGACCAGTAAGCAGCTTTTTTATGTTTTGCCTTTAATGTCGTTAGGACCCAGACAGGCTTCAATAAAGGGCACTCATCAGCAGGATGCCACATCTTCTATGTTTGTGCCCAGCTGGAGCTAGGATGTTTGTCCTGACCTCATCGAGAAAGACTGACTGCTTAGCAAACTTGGCCAACCGTAGTTCGAACCAAGAGTTTGTATACAGTCTGTTGGCTGCATACCAGAAGACCAAATGATTGTCTTGCTCAGAAAGAAGGGTCTGTCAGTGATGATGACTCCTTGTTTCCCAAAAAGCAAGACACTGTGATCTCATCCACTGATACCCTCCCGGATGCAGGCCATGTCTGATTCATCTAATGTCTGTGTTGGAAGCAACAAGGTTTATGAACGATTGGCAGAGTGCAGTTTTCAAAATCTTGGATGCTCATTGTTTGTTAATGGCATTCTCAGAAACGTATTAATTTGGCACATGTAGTATTTTCCATGAAAGTCATTTCTTATCTTTTTGTCTCTGCTCCTCTTCTCAGATTTCATCCAAACCCTCCCAGAAAAGTGAGTTCCTTGTATGTCACTTCTGCCTTGTCATCAAAGATTACACTGCTGCTTGTATAAAAATCTCAAAGGCCTTTACACAGTTTCCAGTGATTTTTTTTTTTTTAAAACTATATGTTGTCATTAAGACTTCTTTTTAAAAATGCCCATAGATTTAACAGTTGCTTTAAATTATTGGAGTTTCTATTGGGCTCTCATTAATAGGGTTAAAATCTACTTTTTTGGCTAAGTTGGCTTCTGTGATTACTGAGTTTTCTACTTCTCTTCCTGAAAGACAAATTGCAAATATGAGAGTCCAGCAATTTTTTGATTTGTGAGATTCTGTTGTATAACAAACAACAGAAACCTTTCTTCATGGTTCTATATAGATGTGGGAAAATGGCTCCTCACTACAAAACAGGTTTTGGGGAGTTTTCTTTTTTTCTTTTTTAATTTTTAATTTACTGTTTATTTGTTTTGAGAGAGACAGAGAGACAGAGAGACAGAGCGTGGGCAGGGGAGGGGCAGAGAGAGAGGGAGACACAGAATCTGAGCTGTCAGCCCAGAGCCTGACGCCGGGCTATAACTCATGAGTCATGAAATCATGACCTGAGCCGGAGTCGGACACTCAACCAACTTAGCCCCCCAGGCACCCTTAGGTTTTGGAATAAAAAAAAAAAAAAAGTTTGTAATCTCTTTAAAATTTCAGATTGCTTTTAAAAATATATTCAGTTTATTTGATATTAATGCATTACGTATTAATATAAACAACATACACTATTATTTTGAAATAAGATTTGACCTCATGGAATCCTATTCTGTTGAAAGACAAAACTTGGAAAGTAAATATTATTTACCCTGGTTAATATATCTTAGTCTGGAAACAAGGTTTCAGAGATTTTTAAAAATTTTAGAAAAATTCATGGCTCAACTTTGATATTTTATTTCCTTGGTTTACCAATTAACATGATTGTCTACAAAATCAAAGATTATTCTTTACTTCCTTTTTGATTTTCCTAGATATCAAAACTTTTTTTGTCTAAGAGGTACTTTATTTTGACCTTACTATATCTGATCAAAAGTTTCTCACTTTTGGGGCGCCTGGGTGGCTCAGTCGGTTGAGCATCCGACTTCAGCTCAGGTCATGATCTCACGGTCCGTGAGTTCGAGCCCCGCGTCAGGCACTGTGCTGACAGCTCAGAGCCTGGAGCCTGTTTCGGATTCTGTGTCTCCCTTTCTCTCTGACCCTCCCCCATTCATGCTCTGTCTCTCTCTGTCTCAAAAATAAATAAACGTTAAAAAAATAAAATGTTTCTCACTTTTGAAAGAGCTAAGTTTCTTTTTTAATTTCATTATCATTTTTGACTATTTTAAGATGTTTCTTGTTACTTAGATTGAGTGAGGAACCAAATATTATTTGAAAGTCACCCATGATCCTCTCTTAATGAAATGTGTACATTTCCTTGAAACCTTTCTGAATTCCCCAATTGAGATTGTAAATACAGAAAAATAAATAAATTGCAAGGATATCTTTTATACCTAAAACAACTTTTGAGATTTTGTAGTCATGGGAAATATCCCAAAGATACATACTTTCATCTTAAAATACAGAAATACTAGAAATAGTTTTGTTTGGAATGTTACTCTTGTAAAAGTTCATGAGAAGAGTTGTCTAGGAAGAATAACTTCTCAGCCTCCCTATGTTATAACTATATAAATAAATTGTGATTGGGGTACCTGGATGGCTCAGTCAGTTGAGCATCTGACTCTTGGTTTTGGCACAGGTTGGAATCTGCTTGGGATTCTCTCTCCTCTCTCTCTGACCCTCCCCCCTTTCTCTCTTAAAAAATAAACGTTACAAAAAATTTGTATTAACGTAAATATTTCAGTACTTTATGCTGTATGGGAAGTCCCTGGATATATGTCAATTCCCCCACTTACCATATTTTTAATAAACTTTGTTTTTTTAGAGCAGTTTTAGATTCACAGCAAAATTTAGAGGAAGGGTACAGAGATTTTGCAGATACTTCTTGCTTCCACACATGCATGGCCTCCCGTTATCAACATCCCCCAGCATAGTGATACATTTGCTACAATTGGTGACCATACGTTTGCACATCATTTTTTCCCCAAAGTCCATAGTTTAGTTAGGGTTCACTCTTGGTATTGGATGGTTTATGGGTTTTGAACAAGTATATAATGACATGTATCTATCCTTACAGTACCATACAGAGTAGTTTCACTGCCCTATAAATTCTCTGTGTTTTGACTATTCCTTCCTCCCTCCAGATACTTTTTCTTGCCCAATCTGAACCTTATGAAAAAAAAATCAAGTTTTTTAATCTTCACAGTTATAAGCCAAGAAAAAAAAAAAAAACACTGTGGGCAGATGACAGAACATAAGACAACTTTGAGTTCCTTGAAAAGAGGGTATTAGTCTAGCCTTCCAACAAATATTTCCTTTTGTTGTCATTGTGCATTTGAATTACAGGCTGCTCAAAAGCACCTTGCTTTACAAATAAATATATGGTTAACCATAGTTTATATGCCATGGCTCTAACTTGAACAATCTATTAGAGCTGTAGACTATTGGGAACTTGATTGAGAACAGTTCTGGAATCATCAGCAGCTTCCAGTTACTCATTACCAGTTGATATAGAGGCCCATCTCCATGGGAAATCCTTTATTTTTATTTTATTCTTACGTTACGTTACGTTATGTTATTGAGAGAGAGGGCGAGAGCACGAGAGGGGGAAGGGCAGAGGGAGAGAGAGAGAATCTTAGGCTCCAAGCCAAACACAGAGCCCAACATCAGGCTCGATCTCACAACCCTGAGATCCTGACCTGAGCTGAAATCAGGAGTTGGAAGCTTAACTCACTGAGCCACCCACGCGCTCCTTTGGGAAATCCTTTAATCCACTTGTAAACAAAGATGATGTTGCCTAGGCTTTGCTTGTAGCTCTTTTTATTACTATGATCAGTTATATTGCCCTAGATGTTTTCAAAAGTTATTTTTCTTGTATATTGGGTTAGTAATTAGCAGCAGAATTTTAGAGCTGGAAGGAATGAACAGTTACATACACCAGTGTGGCTGAATTTTCCAAACATTATGTTGAGCAAAAGAAGCCAAAATACTGTGATACTGTGTGCTTCCACTTATATAAAGTCAACACGGCCACCCGCCTGATTGTGTGGGAATTCAGGAGAGTGGGGAAGGGGCAGTGACTGAAATGGGACAAGGAGAGAATTTCAGCTTGTGAAGATTCATTAACCGTACAGCTTTGATTTGTGTACTTTACAGCCACAAGCTTCAAACAATTGTAAGAATCATGAGATATAATGGGGGGGGGCAGGGGAAAGAGCTGCTGTAGTTAAAGCAGGGATAGTACTGGGGGCTCAAATGGGGGTCAGGTGAGGGTGAGCCAGTGTGAAAACCACGGGTGTAACCCACCCCCACCCCATTTTAGAACTCAGGGAAGGAGAATTCCCCCAGAGACCCTGCGTTGACCAGATTACACAGCTACTTGCTGACAACATTTATAAACTCATTCTGTACAGATAGAGAACACGTACGTACCATGTCCCAGATGTGGGCCAGGACGCTCGGATATAGTTGGGAACCAGACCGACCCAGCTGGACCCTGCCCTCGCAATAATTTAGAATTCCTGTTTTCCAGCTGACTCCGTCGCTTGACTGGCCCCACCCAAGTAGACATTTGAGTTTGCGCTTCCTTAATTCACATTAATTTCCCCATGTCAGAAGACTGGGTATTTCATTTTCTTGAAGCTGAGCCTAGCGTTCATTTCCTTCCCACTTCCGACTTGGTATGCGTTTCATGGTGCTCAAGGAAGCATGTTTTAAGAATCAAGGGTAGTTGACTCTTCCTTACAAGAAACTCTGGTCTTCCACAGAGGCTGTGAGGAGAGGAGAGAGAAAGCCCGCCCAGGCCTCAGGGCTTGCAGACTGAGCCCCCATCATTTCTGGGCGGGTAAATTCACTCACACCACTTGGCTCCCAGGCCTGTCATTTGATCAGGCTCTCATCTGCATGTCAATGAGGCTTAAAGCCCGTGGAAAGAATTAACTGGTCTGGGATGTTTATGCAACTTTTCAGCGAAGGCAATTGAAAGGAAAGTTGCCCTGACTGAGCTGATTGTCTTGGAGCAGATATATAGTGAAGTAATCATGTTAATATTATGTGACTCAGGTTATATGATATTTTCAGTGATCAGCCTAGTAGGAGTTTAAACATGAGCAAAAACACAAACTCATCAAAAACAGTAAATGAAACATCCCTTTTAAAGCATGTCAACTGGCCTTTTATTTATTTTTATACTTTTTATTCAGATTAAAGCCTAGAACAAATTCAGATTTCCTTCAGTTTATGAGCCGTGTTTTCTATTGCATTTTTAAACCAACAATATTAATTTCCAGTTGTATTTCTTTTCCTTTAGGACTAATTAAAGAAAACATGTTTGTTTTTCTGGGCATCACTCCCAAATCTTCAAGTGCCAGGATATAAATTCTGGTTTTATGTTCCAAAAGAATGTTTAGGTTTTGAGATCATATAATCTTTAGTAGAATAAAAAAGTTCGTGTGTGAGGGGGTGCATATGTTCTTTGTTCACGAGTTTAGCTTCCTACCATAGACATTTCTAGAAAGGAAAGCAAATTCCATGCAACAACTTTCCTGTTAATTCTCCACAGGTTATTTAAATAAACACACAACAAATTCAATTTAGATTTAAAACTATGTTTCAGAGGCTCCCAATTTAATAGGTAAGATGTCTATGTTCTGTTGTTTGTGTTAATGTCCTTTACATAGAGTCTTAAGTTCCTCCAAAAATTCTTGAGCGAGCTTCATTTTCAAGTTCTTTGAAACTGCAAGACAGTAATCTAAGGTCCTTCATGATCCTCCCTTCTGAGTAGAATTGAACCACCTCTGTGCCAATGATGGTATACAGCAAACCCCCTTTCTGTAAAGTGATTAGGTTGTAAAACCAGTGCGTGAGGCCACAATGATGTCTAATCAAAATGACCCCTTGAATGCCTGTTAAATTGCCCATGAAATCCACCTTCCCATAAGCCCCACGCTTTGTTTGAGCATCAGCTGAGGTACAACCATGTGCTGGGAAAAAGGAACCCTAGAAGGGCACCAGCCTGGTAAGATCCCCATACCATGAAATACATGGGAACCAAGCCAGTGGGTGGGACAGCTCATTTCCTGTCATGACTCTCATGTTCATGATCAGGCCTAGACTCAAGGAAAGGCACAGTGAGTGGAATTTCCTACCCTATGTCAATTGCTTTCCTTTCTCACCGCCCCCCCCCCCCCCACCCCCCAGCCTCTTCTCTGTAGAGTTAATCTCTGTAGAGTTAATTTACGTTAAATGTGTCTATGCGGTGACACCACCGTATGAAGCCCTAGGACTTTTCTGTGCGTAACCTACCAATGGCCATATCCCTTGTAAACACTTGAAAAGAACATGCATAATGAGAAATTTCAGTGGTCTGTACCCCAGCTCTCCTACTAGACAGCATTTATTATGGTTTCGAATAACTGGTTTTGAAGGTAGGTGGCATTTATGCATGTCGAAATATAGAGAGAGTGTATTTAATACTCTGCCAAGTGTATTTTGGCGACAGTAGAATCTTGCACAAGTTGGCTTCCTTTTTAAAAGGTCATTACACAATTTATATGCCTGACATTAAAGAAGTTCTTTTTGATCAGACTGCAGTAATTGGGCATATTTTACTTAAAATGTTATGTACACATACACACTTCCTAACATTACCCATAAGGGCGTTTCTGGTTTGATTAGACCTGGGAATTGGAGCACCTTTTTCCTCCTGCTGCTAAGGGTTCAAAGGTCATTCCCCGCCTCAGAGTTTGGTGACGTGGGGATGAGCTGTACAGTTAACTGGGAATCATCTTCCTCCACCTGCCATTTCTTCCTCACATACACCTGTACTGTTACCACATACCTCCCTCACCAAGCCAGGGTCTGTTGGCTCACCTGACACTCTGAGTCTGGCCCTGAGATGGCGCTAGACAAGCCGTGGGGCATGGGGCCCCGCTACATGGTGCCTGCTTAACCAACCCCTTTTTTGCACCCTTCCCCTCTTGCAGTCTGGTCTTCTGCGAGCTGCTCGCTCGTGGTACTCTCCCGCCTCTGACTGCTCTCTGGCTCCCTTCCACATTGGAAGAAACTCCAGACCCCTTTACAGGGCGCTGTGGCCCTGCGTCCTCACGCCTCTGCCTGCCTCTCTGACTTGGCCCCCTCAGACCCATGCCCACTGCCCACCACGCCCACCTTCATGCTGTGTCTTCTTGAGGGTCACTCTCGCTCCAGACCCTTTGAACTTCCATTTCTCTCTGCTGGTAATCTTTCCCCAGGTTTTGCGTGGCCTGATGCCTTTTGTCATGCAGAAAGAAGCCCTTCTTGACTCCCCCATCTTTAAAAGAGCCCAGCCTTGGAGCGCCTGGGTGGCTCAGTCCATTAAGCATCTGACTTCGACTCGGGTCACGATCTCAGGGTTTGTGAGTTAGAGTCCCACATCGGGCTCTGGGCTGACAGCTCAGAGCCTGGAACATGTTTCAGATTCTGTGTCTCCCTCTATCTGCCCCTCCTCTGCTTATCCTCTCTCTCTCTCTCTTTCTCTGAAATAATAAATGAATAAACTTTATTTTAAAAAATTAAAAAAAAAAAAAAGAGCCAGTCTTGGGGTACCTGGGTGGCTCAGTCATTTAAATATCTGACTCTTGATTTCAGCTCAGGTCATGATCTCACAGTTGGTGGGTTCGAGCCTCATGTCCAGCTCTGTGCTGACAGTGCGGAGCCTCCTGGGAATTCTCTCTCTCTCTCAGCCCTGCCCCCCACTCACATTCTCTCTGTCTCTCTCTCTCTCTCTCTGTCTCTCTCTCTCTCTCAAAATAAACTTAAAAAAAAAAAAAGCCCAACCTTCCCACAGTCAGCTTTAGCCTTTTTTTTTTTATTGCATTCATCCAAACCTGGAAAGATTTTATGTCCATTTGTTCACTTGTTTATGGTCTGATCAATCCATCAGAACAGTGCTGTCCCACATGGTAGCCACTGTCCACCTGTGGCTATTTGAGTTTTTTTTAAAAATATTTTTTTTTTAACATTTATTTATTTTTGGGACAGAGAGAGACAGAGCATGAACGGGGGAGGGGCAGAGAGAGAGGGAGACACAGAATTGGAAACAGGCTCCAGGCTCTGAGCCATCAGCCCAGAGCCCGACGCGGGGCTCGAACTCACGGACCGCGAGATCGTGACCTGGCTGAAGTCGGATGCTTAACCGACTGCGCCACCCAGGCGCCCCTATTTGAGTTTTAAATGTCATAAATGGAAATGAAATAAAATTTGAAGTTGGGTCTCTCACTGACACCAGCCACCTTACAGGTGCTCAGTAGGCCCTTGTGGCTGGTGGCCACCATGTCAGAAAATGCAGCTAAAGAGCATTCCCATCATCACAGAAAGTTCTACTGGATGGCACTGCATTAAAATAGGAGTTCCCTGAGGGCACCAGACCTGTCTCCTTATTCACTGCTGAATGCCCAATGGCGATGTCCCATATGTGGTGCTCAATGGATAAGAGTGGAAGGAAAGGAAGGCAGGGAGAAGAGCCTTATATTTTTCAGGGGAAGAGATCTTCATGATTTTAATATTTGTCTCCAATCCTCCATACCTCTAAATAGGATTAAATATCAGGATTAAAAAAATTACAATGTGGTTCTTAAGGGAGACTATTTAACCATCGTAATGGAATCCCTTTTAATATCCCTCTATTGCTTTTTCGCCTCATCTCCTTAGAGCGTCACCTGGGGGCCTCCAGCCTACAAATAAAGGCATATGTGACTTCCAGGAGCAAAGCACATTTTTCCTGGTCTGTGCTCAGCACAATAAACCTTTTTCACTCCCTTTATCTCCCAAGATAGTTGCACAAGTTTTTTCTCTTTCCAGGGCTACAGTTCCCCAAAGTTAGAAATATGGAATGTGTGTGTACCTACAGATTCTTTGTGTAACTTTTCTGAATTTGCCTTGTGGCAAATCATACTTTTTGAAAGTGCGACTGCGTTTGCCACCTTCTGTATCGTGCCGGACGGGGAGATCTGGCGAGGGTTGTAGCTGAGTGCTGATTAAAAGCAGCACCTTCTCTCTGGCTTGCTTAAGAGCTAAGACCCTTATAAATTGTTGCTGTGAACTTTTGAACTCAGAGAAACTTCTGAATATATGTAAGAAGTAGTAAGATAATCCAAGGCTAAGGATTTGTGTCTTTCTCGTAACGAATCACGTCTATGAAGAAATAAGCATGATTGTTGGCATTTTAAGATTTTCGTATAATTTAATTTTTTAAAACTTATGCACAACCTTTCAATATACTTCGTAGAAGGTTTTTTAACAATAACTTAATATATAATTGTCTGGATAGGAAATCATTCCATATAGTAGACATGAAAATGTTTTTTGAGTAAGGATGGTCTCAAAAACAATAATTTTTGTCATTTTTGCTTTAAGACAGAGACTCCATTTAAGCCCACCATAATTTACTAAACTATGCTCTGAAGCCTAGATAACCAAAAATTTATTAGATTTGAACTGTCACAGTGTCCAAACTTTTAAATTTTTAAGCAGGTTTCATGTCAAATGTTCTGTTGCCCTGAGTAACAAAATGAAATGTTGATATCTTGAATAAAACAACAACCCTTTGCAGATCCACTGTGCCTTCCTCCAGAAAGCTTCATGAATTAGCGAATCCTTTTATTTAATAAGATCTTACAAGAGAAATATAATAGCTACTAGTGGAAAGTTGTATTCTGTTTTTATTGGAAGAGGTAAAGCATAATATGCCTTTAAAAGCTGAGTGCTAGGGCGCCTGGGTGGCTCAGTCAATTAAGTGTCCCACTTCGGCTCAGCTCATGATCTCGTGGTTCACGGGTTCAAGCCCCGTATCGGGCTCTGTGCTGACAGCTCAGAGCCTTGAGCCTGCTTTGGATTCTGTGTCTCCCTCTCTCTCTGCCCCTCCCCTCCTCATGCTCTGTCTCTGTCTCTCTCTCTCTCTCAAAAATAAATAAAAACCTTAAAAGCAGAGTGCTAAGAAGTGTCTGAGTCTGTAGGCTTAGAGATCAAGATTTGGTCTCTGACATGTGTTACGGACCACAGATAATATTCACTTCAGCTTCTTAAGGGAAGGGAGATCTCATGCTGCAGGGATCCTATGTATGGAATATGCTATAGCTTGGAGAACCTACTGGATTTTAAGACCCTCTTTATGCAGACAGGGTTGATTATTTGCACTTATGGCAAGGGTCCTTCATGCAAAAGGGGGAAAACATTGTTCCAAAGAGCACCTGTAACCACTTTCTCAAATTTCTTTTTGGATTTTAACATTTTGATGTCAGCATTCATTGCTTTTAGCTTATTGAGACCAGAATATCTTGGAACACAGCCAGCCTCTCTCCTCAAAAGAATATCCCACAACAGGCAAATACATAAGAATGCTTGAAAGTGCCTTGGATGTCTCTAGCAGCACGTGTTCAACAGAGTACCTGGAACCACACGGGAGCCATGCATCTTCTGTCTTCCTGACAGGCTGCCCCCAGCCAGCCCCAGAAACTATACTTCAGTTCATTTCTTGTGGAGGCTGGTAATGAATAGGGTTATTAGCAACTGAACTGAAAACTCCTGGTTCCCACCAGCTCCAGACTCCTGCACCAGGTATACTCTCTGTTTAGCATCAAGTGGAATGATCTTAGGGTCTTGTTGGACATGGGCTGCAATCCCTTCTCCACCCGTCACTTGTTCTGTGAACTGATGATTGTTCTCTAACCAATATCTGCTTTCCTGCCTCTAAAATGGGGAGAATCGTACCAGCTTTGCAGACTTGTTACAAGTTTTAGAAGTCAAGCGTGTAAAGTGCCTGGCAAGGGATGAATTGCTCAGGAGGTAGTAATGTCTCTTTAGCTTCATGAAATTGATTAGCTGGAACTCTTCCTGGAGAAGAGAACTCTGTTTTTGGACTACGTTCACTTAGCACTTAAGTTTTATTTTGTTATGTCTCCAAGTATACTCCTTGAAAAAAAAAAAAAAGTATGATTATTTGCACCAGAGGCCCTCATTATCTGAGAATAGTCCAGAGCGGAATAAAAGACCACTTAAAGTGAAGTCTCTAAACATGGGAACATGTCTTCGTGGTAAATAGTGAAACAAACAAAATTAATGAGACTTAGGTTAGATCTTTGAATGAATTGGCAGTCAGTTCTTTCAACAATATTATGTATTCATATAACATGACATCCATCACTTTGTGTTTGGTTTTGCAGTATATAACAGTGGTCATTTCTGTGTAAGTAAATTATCAGTCAGTCAATCCTTGGGCTTCACCAACTTACTCAAAACTTCTTATCATTTGATAGCCCCTTCTCTTGTGAAACCTATTAAACCACCATCCTGGGGCGCCTGGGTGGCGCAGTCGGTTAAGCGTCCGACTTCAGCCAGGTCACGATCTTGCAGTCCGCGAGTTCGAGCCCTGCGTCGGGCTCTGGGCTGATGGCTCAGAGCCTGGAGCCTGTTTCCCGATTCTGTGTCTCCCTCTCTCTCTGCCCCTCCCCCGTTCATGCTCTGTCTCTCTCTGTCCCAAAAATAAATAAACGTTGAAAAAAATAAAAAATAAAAAAAAAATAAACCACCATCCTTGTTGATATGTTTCTGAAATTACTGCTTCTCTAATGTGGTCTGATGTATATTTCAAAGAGTTACTTAGCATCATCATTTCTGATTTCATGAATGCTGCATGTTTTTGTAAGCTTTGCAATTTAACTTACAATCCACTTACATTGTATTTGTGTTGCACTGAAGGAAGGTTTAAAAAAAGCCTCCCTTACTTAACCAGTGCAGGATCAATTTCCAAAAATGTTGATTTAGAGGATATAGAGCTTGCTCCTTCTAAGCAGGGAGAGACCCTTGAGCAGGGGGAGTTATTTTTTTAAGGATTTTTTTAAATGTTTATTTACTTGAGCGGGGAAAGGGGCAGAGAGAGGAGGACAGAGGATCTGAAGCAGACTCCACGCTGACAACAGAGAGCTCAATGTGGGGCTCACACTCACAAACATGAGATCATGACCTGAGTTGAAGTCGGACGTTCAACCGACTGAGCCACCCAGTTGCCCCCAGCGGGGAGAGTTTTTTAAAACAGTTAACGCATGAATATTTTCATGTTATGATGACTTTTATATCACTTGCAACCTTGAAACTGTGGGAAGTTGGATAACCAGGCCTCCCTGTGTAGAATGATTGTCCTCCTGTGATGAGGAAAGGCTGTATCACTGACCTAAAGGTCCCAGCATGATCTTCTTCAGCATGTTTGCTGAAACATGTCCCCTGGGTTTTCCAGAACAGCTTTTCCATCAGTACCATTTGATCTGCTGCTTCCATGTAATCCATTCCTAATGATAGCTCAGACATAGAAAGAGGAGGAAAGATGTGTCTTGCT